AACAAACGAGCACACAGCCCACTTGAAAGTAAATGGATGCTGTTGTCCGTAGACAATAGACATCTACATCTATCCTCGATTACAAATCAAAATGCAGATGCGCTGTCACCCCTGTGGACTGAGATAGAATGCCTCGTTTCCAGTAAAAAAGGGTCTCCGGTTCTCTATACTCACAATACGAAATACAGCAGCATTAAGTTGCTATTTTACGCTGGTATTCCGTGAGAGCGTCGTCCTACCCCGTCTAGCTGACTTATTTATGCTACAACTAAAATATAGCTGCAGCGTGGCTCTACTACGTATCATTGAAAGCTTTAAAAAAAAAGCTTTGAAAAAAACTAATCATTGAAGTAGGTATTTACGTAATATCTCAATGATTTAAACGCAAAAATTAAGTTAAACATAATGGTCTCATTTTTATTAAAACATCTATTTCATTGAAATTAAAAGCTGTATGCTGTGTGTTCGTTTGGCACCGTTATACTATAAAAATAAATATACAAATTTGTTACCGATGTGAATAATCGCTAGCTACTTAATATGGATATAACTGCTGATCCTCTAATGAGTCAGTCACTTGTTAACTGAATCGTTTTCTCGGAACATTGATCTAACCCTTGCAATTATGTTGTGTGATTCATCATAAATATCCAAACGTAATACGACCAGTTAGAATTTATAAACTGTGGATTTATTTTTGTTTAAATCCATTAATCTACTAATGAATACATTTTGACATTAAGTACTGTTTTTAACATTCTTAACATTTTTGTTTCTAAAAAGTCGTAAAAGTAAAATCACTATGAATTAATTAAGATAAAAAAGACACCGAGCTATATATATATATAATAGTTGATAATTAAACACATGCGCAATGCCTTAGTTACTCATGTTACCTCACAGTAATTACGTTACATACATATGCAATTTTGATATTATACAATACGTGAAACCAAACGTTAAACTAAAAGTTAAACTACTACAGACGCAGTCACGAGGTCATGACGATTATGATTTACACAAACAAAGCTGGTAAATCATACAGAAAGTGTCTCATGGCCGGGTTTTGTGAGAGGTTTATAATAATATTTTGTAGAAGAAGGAGCAAACGAGCATTAAGTTCACCTGATAGTAAATGTCGACTCCCGCCCATGAACAACTGTACCACCAGAGAAAACGCAGGTGCCTTGAGGTCTAATCGGTCCGATAAAATTACCTGTGGTAAACGATTCCACAAAGGAGTCGTGCAAGGAAGAAAACTCGTGGTAATGCACGTGATAATTATTTATAGAATATTTGTTTAATGAGACCATACTTAAGGTAATCTATTTAATTAAAAAAAAAACATTAAAATTGGTACAAAATTGGCGTAAATATCAAGTAACACATATAAAGAAAAATAACATACAGTCAAATTGGAACATCCTCCTTTTTGGAGACGGCTAAAAAGATGTTTCTTTAAAGGAAGGTAAAATGATTCATAATTATATGTTCACAGATACTCTTGTTCAAGTTCAATAAAGTTCAAATATCTTTATTTCAACCAACAAGGATCATATAACATAATTAGTATAACTATGTGATAACATAGCCCATTTTTAGTAATTTTGTTGAATAAAAATAAATGAATAAAAATCTTTCAAACCGTAATTAACAAATTTTAGGATTATTTATTACATACAACAATATTTCAGGTACATACGGTCAACTCTACAACATCACTAGGATGCGGTTGGAGCTGGCCCAAATCTTACGTACCAGGGATGTACATCGTTTACGTATGATCGCGTAGAAGCAATTCACTCGTGTTTCAGCGAACATCCCCGATGCGCTGCAGAACCGGGGTCCCATTAGTACCCAAAATGCATTATTGTACTGCACGCGCAGGGTACTGTACCGCTGGTGAGAGTAATTCACCCAGAGACTGCTTGTATAGAGGGATGTACAATAAGTTTTAAACATCGTAATCTTAACATATTAGCTCTTACATACAATGACCTGTGCTCTTTATCAATATCTAAATAGTCCCTTAGGTCAGAGGTTACCAAATGTCCAAGATACTTAAAATGTTATACTCTATTCAGAGGAATTACATTCAGTTTAATAATGGGTATTTTTTTAATTATAGATAACCGGTCACCGTTGCAAATCAGAATCTAATTATTGTTGAATTCATGTCAGTTTGTAAAGTATAGTATACAATGAAAAGAAGTATTATTGAATAATTCACAAACACAGAGACACACACTAACATAATTGTATAATTAACTGTATTTTATTTTTAGATATGTATAGTTTAATACGTTGCAGGACCACGCTGCAGTTATAACTTAAGCACGAATGGGTCGTAACATATCACCAGCCTGATATTCCTTTTTTTTTAAATAGAATTAGGGTGGCAAACGAGCACAGAGCCCACCTGATGTTAAGTGAATGCTGTGGCCCATAGACATATACATTTATCCCCGATTAGGAATCAACATGCAGATGCGTTACCACCTCAGAAGACTAAGATGAAATGCCTCGTTTCCTGTAAAAAGGGTATCCGGTTCTCTACACTCACCATACGAAACACAGCAGCATAGAGCTGCTATTTTACGCTGGTATTTTGCGAGAGCGTGATCCTTCCCCGGTCGACCCGGGAACCATTCGTCCTGCAACCATAATATGGCTGCGGCATGGCTCTACAGCGTATAAAAATGCTGCTCTGCTGTGTTTCGTAGCATGGGGTGTAGAAAATCAGAGACCCATTTTTCAGGAAACGACGCATTCCGCATCTTTTCTCTTATAAATGAAGATAGATTGCTATGGGCCGACGGTAAAATGATGCTAGTCTTTTTACCATCGGTTACCATAGTCCACAAATTTAATTTTCTATCAAGAAACTTTTAATACAATGTAAGAATTATGAATATATTTGAATTAGATTAAAAAAGTGAATATAATCAAATGCACGTCATGGCCTTGTAGTTATTTCATTTAGAAATCTCGCATTCATTAATATTTTAAAGAAAGCTTACTCACATCGTCAAATAAACCTTTAAAAATGACCTTGTTTAAAATACATTTATATTTATTGATAGCAGAAGTGAAGACTAAGAAGTCATAAAAAATATCGGATCTAACATATACATTCGTATAATAACTGCCGATCTTATAGACAATTTTTAGCAAAATTGCTAATGGCCAAATATTATTTAAATAAACAACTAATCGATTATTGTCAATCGATTATCAATATAGCAATCACCAAATGTATTCTTAAAACCCACATAATAATGATGTATTGTTATTTCTTATGTTTTGTTACTTGTATACCTGAGTAACGAACGTAGATCGTCCATACCCCATAATTTTGATACAGTTGTAACGTGCAATAAATATTATTTACAATACATTTTTTGTTCGCCTCGGACGATTGCTTAAGGAAAAGAACAATAATGATACGTGGGACGTTATTTTTATTAAGATAACGTCTATTGAATAGTTTAAAAAAATTATGATACTTGCCGATTTTGGAATGTCAATAATAATCATTGTTATCAACATTGTAGCCCTTCACATGTCCACTGCTGAATATAGACCTCAAAGCATGCTACATTGCTTGACCCCAACCGACCAACATCCATCGACTTTCTGCATCTGTTACCAGGTCGTCACTCATATAATGGATCCACTCCACTTCGCCTACCGAAAACCTTTCTTACCCATCGATTTCGGTTTTTTGAGTTATACGGCTGACCCATCGTCACTTCAGCTTACTGATCCATTTCGGCTACGCCGGTAACTTTGGTTCTTCTGCGGATAATCTCATTAGGAAGCTTATCACACAGGAAAAACCCGAAAATAGTCTTCTCTATAGCTCGCTCAGGGACATTAAGCTTCCGCATTCGGCTAGCAGTGAACAACCACGTCTCAGATCCGTATGTCATCACTGGTAACACGCTCTGTTAGTACACTCTTGTTTTCAAGTTTTGAGGTAAATGTGGCGAGCAGATTTGTTGTCATGCTATATAGTAACAATATATATGTTTACCTTTAACAATAATTGGCGAGTATTCGTTTTACCTCCATCTGAACTTTTTACAAAATTTTTCAGATTTTTTTTTTGAATAAAAATAATTAGAATCATTATTAAATGTTTTACTTTAAGATTCATATTAAAAATTAAGCGCTGATATTCCTTACTACACACCGATATATTATCCATAGCATGTATGGTACGTTATAGAGTGTGTGGTAATGTTACATGATTTAATACCTCCTTCCACTCAACGAGACGTTCAGTGGGTAACCGGACGATATTCCACGCATTTGAACCAAACGGTTTGCTTGGTCAATTTAATATGAAGTGCGTTAATATGAAGTCTCTAATTTTAATAAGCAAGAGTGAATAGTGAGGGCTCCATTTACTATGTAAGGCGTTTTCATCGCTTACTACCAAGTGAGATTATAGCAAAGTACTAGCTTATTACAAGAAGTGAAGAAATTACTTTTGCAATTTAATTCTTTTAATTATGCCACACTTCTGGCCTCGTTATCTTCTTCCTGTTCGTGCTTAAGTGACATAAATTATGCCGATACAAGAATTTGGTGCAACATTATTTCAGCTATCATAACCAGATATCACTTCCTATTAATTTTAATGTTGCCATGCAATTTATAACAAGTTTAACGGTTAAAACTGCAAGTAATTTAAAAAATCAGACTGCAATAAAAAGCTTATTGAAAAAAACGTTCCCTCATATTTGTATTTGCAGATACAATTTATAAATATTTTATAACCTAAGTCATTTTCACAATTAAGACAAATCTAAAGTCACCTCATAATATTATGTAAAAATACATCAAACCGTTTAGGCGACAGAGCGTGTCAAAGATATAGACATACTCTCGACCCTCCCGAAACAGTCGGGTAAACACAGTATTCCAGCTAGACAAAATTTCATATCGTCTACATTGATTTTAAAATCAATATTTAATCTTAATCTACGACTCACCTGTCTTCTTATCATGACGTGAGACACACGTCCTCTGACGCGCACTGATAGCACGTACTCTCCTGGATGGGTTTGCGACTCACGCACCAAGAAAGAACCGTTTCTCCCTTTCGCCATGATCAAATTTTCCGCTTCTTTAGCCGACATTATTCCATGGAACCACCTAGAAAATTACAAAATTTTATTTCACCTTTTCTTGGTTATATTATAATCTTATTATTGAAACGAAATTAAAGAGCTTATGTAATAAGCGAAAACTATTTCTTTTTTCTAAACTGAAGCAAATGTTTTTCACCCCGGTACTACTATAATAACATACTAAGTAAATCACAAAAAAGAGCAAAAAAATTTGGAAATATAAGGAACAATTTGTCGAGGCTCTGACAACACGTACCGATTTACGAAAAGTATAAAAAAACGGATTTTCGTTTCTCATTCAGTCATTTATTTAATATTTATTACATAACAAATTTCGATACTGTCCGCATTTGCAAAAAAACATAGATAATAACATTGAAGCTGTCTAATACGTACTAGAACAGCTATCTCAAACAAAAAATGTGCGCTACTCTGTGTTCGCGTGTTTGGTTTTTTTTATCATAGAATAAACATAGGTAGAATGATCCGTAGGTAATAGTAGATTGTATTGTTAAATAATATCGAGAACAATATTTAAATTTTGTCATTTATTTTGTATACTATATTTGTTTATTTAATATAATATTACATAATATTATATCACAATTACATTTTAATGATATTTTTATCCGAATATTTTAAAAGGTATCTATTCTATAAAAAAATGTATGTTTAACAAAACTTGTTAACATAAAATTTAAATTACAAATATATTTATTTAAATTAGAATCATAAATGCAGTGAATAATCGTTCATAAATGCTGGGCACGCGAAAGTTAAAAATGGACGAATCCACTTTATTTGAAGTGGAAACCTAAAAATAAAATAAAAAAAATAATAAGCAGATTTAAACATGAAAAATTTAGCCTAATTATAATAACTTATATATGTTTCTACAAAAAAAATGTGTATTATAATATATTCGTCCTATACTTAAGTACCCACAGAAATGTCGTATCTGAACATATTAATTTTATAATCTATATTCCATGATACGAGATGGCGTCTTAGGAATAATTTGTTTTATTATTAATTTATAATACTTTTTTATTGATTTAGTGTCTTATTAACCGATGAAAAGTAATTCCTTGGTTTTTACTGACATTTCTTGAATTATTTGTGCAATATCTAAGTACACAAGACGGCATATTTTTATCAAGAGATTTTTTTTTAAATCAACATAACACGTGACAACTCTACAAGCGCCTAGCGAGTGACAGTTGAGTGGAACAGAGTAGCTGAATGCAGTGTCTCCTCTAGTACGTAGTACATAATAGCTCAATGGATAATAAAAATAATACAAAACTAATAAAACAGGTTTATTACACCGACAATTTTATATCGAATAATTTATATTGAATATAAAATTTGCCTTTTGCCTGTTATAGTTCTGAAGCCATGATTGTAATAAGAACAAAACACAAACTTCCCATAGTTATGAAACGTTCACGACATAGGACAGTTTTACCTTTAGCTGCCAATTGCTTTGTTAATTATCTTTTGTTTGTTTTGTTTTTGTTTCAGCAATACAATGCATAACTGTAATAACTGTTCTTTTGATAAAAACGACCTCTGGGAATGATTGTGTTGCTGAAATCACTTACCACTGACATTTTTTTCTTTATTAGATAGCAGAAAGTATTCAAATCGCAAAACTGCAATATTTATATATGTGTGGTGTATTAAAAAAAGATAAAGTGATGAAATTTTACTTGATATTATATGCATTAATTACATCTTCAGTTTGTGTGCAAAATTATGGTCTTCTTTATCAGGCCAACAAAGTCCACTACTGAAAACGGGTCTTTCCCTCTGAGGAAGGGTTAACCGTAATCGCTTGGAAGTTGGATTTGCAATCGTACCTTTTACGCTGTTTCCCATCGCATGTTAAGCTTCAACATACTTATCTCTTTAGAATGATTTCTTATATTTACAATTATACTATATATTGGATAAAAGTTTTAACGATTTAAAAAACGGATTTTATCGCGTGCAATTTAACTTATTTTTGATTCCCGAACTTTCGAATACTGTACAGCTCTCATGGTCGCGGGAGGGCTGAGGTTCTGATATCATAGTTAGCTCGAGCTACGGAAGCAAAAAGGAACTTTATAAAAATTTTCTTTTTGGCTTTCCCAAGTCCTCTATAACATCTTTTTCGACACCCGATGGACAACGCGATATGATTCAAACATTATTATTATTAGTAAACAGCATTTGTGTATTTTGCTTGGCCAAAACCTTATAAGAGGAGGTATGTGCCCAGCAGTAAAACGCATACATAAGTTTTGCTGAAATTATATAGGTTTTGCTGCATTACTTTACTAATCATTTAAATTTCTAAAATCTCTGAAGTCAAGTTTCGTTTTCATGATTATCGTATGCATACAATAAATTACTATCGCTATGTTCAACCATGTTTATCTAAGAGGTCCAGCAGTTTGCATAGAAACGTCACTATCTTGATTAGATTGCGGTTGGGGTATACCGAATTCAAAATTTTGATTCGCGTTAAAATTTGGTCGAAACTGTTGATTAAATGAATAATTGAGGTCTATAACCTTGTTGAGATATTCCAAGTTTAAAATTATTTTGAGGATTTATATTTGGTTTAAACCTGTATGTTCGGAAGGCGAATTTAGTCGAATCGCCGGTTGGCTCGCGACATAAAATGGCGGGAAAAGCAAATTTTTTGCTATCTTGCAAATTTTGCTATATTTTCACTTTGAGACAATATTTATGGATAAAACTTACAAGGATTCTTATTGAATGTATAAACTATCGAATAAAATATTAATTAATTATTAAATAGTATAATATAATAATTAAATAATATTAATATTTTTAGTTGCTAGAAATTGTAATAAAATTCATAAATTACCCTTTATTTACCATAGTAGTAGTAGATACTTCACTTTTAGTCTAAAATTACTACTAATTTGAATTCTACATGTTTGTTTTTGGAGAAATCTATATGAAAATGTTTGGAAATATGTATATTTTTATGTTTTATGTGTTTCTATTCTACTCATACCAAAATATAAAAATTAAAAAAAAATAAAAAAATAAACGAAATTTATTTTTATCTGTATGAGAATTCCGAATAATATTTCAAATATATTTTTGTGTGATTTTGAAATAAGTACAACGTCAATTTATTTGAAATATGTTATAAAACTATTTTTAGTTACATTTTACACGAAAAATTTATGAGAATTGTAAAAATAACACATTTTTGACCCAACCGCTAAAATAGGCCTTCCCGATTTCAAAGTATATTTGGCACTTACTTTTCAATTTTTATGCCACAAATTATATATCTACGTGTTTGTTTTATTACAAGGAATACATAAAAGTATAAAACTCACCTTTTTATTTCAAAAACACACAGAAAAACGGAGAAATCACTCAGAAATAACTCACGCACTACCACGCACTACTGTTGTAAAAAGCCATTACGTCAGAATGATTTTTATGTCTATTTTTAGAATTGAAATTAACAGATTATGGTACCAAATTAAATTTTTTTTGACAAAATATGTCTTTGTCTATATCTGTATTATACATTTCAGTATAAATTTGTTATAATTTTAATGACAAACCTTTTTTTGTCGGGTTTGCCTCATAAATTATGAGTGGTACTAATGTGTATCCTTGTCGAGCGGGCGGAGGGCGTTGCGTTAGGCACATGTGTACCACTGTCGAGTGAACAGGAAACTTGATTGTTTGTATACACACTAAAGGCATTTTTTAAAGTAACACAATTTTAATTAAGTCTTCCGGTAAGTTTACAAAAACACGTTAAGACACATGTTATTATAAATAATATTTTTTGCTGCTTTAATACCTTCATCAATAAGCAAGTTGATCTTAGAGAAGGGAGTGCTGTATGATAAATTCTGTTACAAAATTCTAAATATTATTCACCAGATTTAATTTTTAAATTTTCTAATTCAATTGCTATGTATACTTCTGATCTAGAATCACCAAAAGGAAATGTCATCTATTATCAGAGGAACATACTCCTTCTTGTTCTATTTTATAAGAAAAAATATTTAATATATAATTAAAATATATCAATCATTCAATCACTTTTTTAATAACAATCACTTTATTTTCATTTAATTCACTTTATTTTTCCTTTTAATAATATTCGCTTAATAAATAACTGCTAAGTTTTGTGCAGAAGTCAAATAACTTTCAACAATTTTAGTAAAAGTTAATTTAAAGGCAAAAAGAAACAACCACAGGAAAACTACGATGAGACTGGATAGTAAAAAAGGTTTACAGTCCGCTCGCTCACATGTTTTCCTACGTGTTACGTGTTAAGAACATTTAAATTAAGTGGTATATTTTGGTATATTTGCTATCGAAGTGTCTGTCTAAATTGGATGCCAAGCAGTAGTGCCAAAGCTGTTTTCCTTTCTCAGGGTTGACGAGGGATCTGTGACATTCTTTATTCTAGGCGTAGGTTGCTGGCATTTTATTTTATGATTGTTAGCTCGTTCGTCACTTTAATATTATTCAATGATAATTTGAATTTAAGTTTTAGTTTCTTGTATATTTAATTGAAAAATAAAACAAAAAACGTAAAATAATGTTGTTTATTAAAACAATTGCTAATATTTTTTCCCACAATGTTCCTTTCGATAACGCCATTGTATCATTCTGTTGGCCGGAGGGCTCAACCGAATTTTATGTGGCCTTAACATTCGTAATATGTAGTAAGCCTTGCTAAGCCTATCTTAAAGACCTTCACATAGGTAATGTTTTGTACTATTCATATTATGGTTTGTTTAATGTTTTTATACGAGTCATGTTAACATCACACTTACAAAAGAGTTTTCAAAACATTTTAAAGTATGTAGTTGATAAATGTTTGTTTTTTTAATTAGTGTGAAGTACCAGACGGACTTGTAAATTCGTATGTAATTTCAGTTCAGAACAGTAAATTACTTCAGCCACGTCACATCATGTAGACTTACAGCATACATTATGCGACGTGGCTCTTGCAGCCCATGAACA